ACCCTGCAGAGTGGAAAAAGTTGAATACGCTCCACCGTAGCATTTCCGTCTACACAGCCCAAGACGCAAAACTCTGGTCAGATTTGCTCACGTCGCGTACCCGTTTATGTCGCATACATACAGTATACAGAAACAAACATGTCATATCATTTCCATGCGTCGGACCTTCAAGCTGCTCTGACAGATCTAATAAACTTACAGGAGGCATCCCAACAAATGTATAGAATATGCAGAGATACTATTATTAACAGAGAAGGATCTGCAATCATTTCTGTCAAATTCTGGATGCACCAGTTTGTCGCAGGCGAGTCAAACGGATATGGACCTGAAGAACCAGTCGATGGTGGGACAACTTTGTGTAAGGAACGTGTGACGTGAAAACTTTTGTATGTCCAAAGATGCCCTTGTTGGTTTAAGTACACGCATACCTAACCTAATCAAATTCCACACACTTTTGCGTCACCGTATGCACACAGATTTCCTCTCAAAAACGCTGGTCTAAACACGGAATAAAAAGCAAAGACGCAACGCCACTTTTGCGTCTTCTGTTCAGACCGTCATCAAATAAACGTTACAACACCACATCAAATCAGCAATACGCTTGTCATGATTAATATATTGACTTATCGTTCAACATATGAAAGCTAGAACAATATATCCTTGGGAACGGGTAGATTTGGGGGACTGTTTGTTGTAATACAATAAGATCTGAGCTGCAGAGGGTTGAATAACTAACTTCTGTGGCTAATTATTGGTTAATTCTGTTATTTATTTGTTTCAGCTCCGGCCTTATAGTGAGACTGTCTATTTAAAAATGGTTTACTGGGGTTGTCTTGCTTTATTATTACTGCATCAGTGGCATAAAGTAGTTTAGTATTATTGTTTATCGCTGCAGCAATATCTCATACATCAAAATTTATTGTGGCAGCCCTAATCAGTAAGTACCATTTCATATTATTGACCCCAACCAACAGCTTACTAACACCCTTACAAACGGACCAAAGCCAAAACAAATACATGCAATAAGCCATAAAAGCTGGTTGTTTTTCCCATGAGCCCTTGCAGCAGAGTCCCTGGTTTGCTGGTGTTGTGTTGCTGAGCGGGCGTCTCTGGCTCGTGTGAAGAGTGGAGCAGCTGATAGAGTAATCACAAGTGTGCAGACAGATGGACACACAAACATACAGACCTGCAGGGACATTCCTCTTCGCCGTACAGCCCCATCGCACTCACTTTAGCTCCCAGTGCTAATACCTCACAGTCTAAATACACTGGAGACTCGAGTTGTTGATATGATCCAACAGCTGCAGCTAACCTCTGCCCATTTTCGCTCATCTTTTTCCTTAATCCTCTCTTCCTTCCTTCTTTTTTTTATTCTGTCTACTCTCAAGAATCTATATGACTGTATGAGTCTACACAAAAATAACTGGGATACAGAATATTAATGTTAATCTGAGTACTACTACTACTTCTTCTACTACTATTTCTGTCAGATTTCAAGATAATTAAGTACAATAAACCATAAATCTAATGGGGTGCAACAATAAATATAGTTAAGGTAATCTCAGTAGCACACTAACCGGGCTAACTGGTATATTAAGCTTTTCCCAAATCCTGTAGGAAGAAGGGCATTAACGTCTTTCCCTTTGATTAAATTCACTAAACATTCTCTTTGTTCCAGCTTTTAATCCTCAATCTCGGGAATCACTGCCAACACAAAATGTCTGGCTCTTCACTGATTGGCTGGTGCCCAAACTCGCTCTTCCATTGTTCTTGCAAACCGTCTAGTGTATTCTGATTCCTGACCTAGTCACTGGACAGAAATGAAATTGAGCGGAGGCACTAGGTGGCGCCAGCCTGGCTATAATCTCAGCTCATCTATAGGGAAATGTTATTGCCTAGAATGTTCCACTGTACGACATTAAATTTGCCAATCTTCATTGAGAGAGACAGGGGATGCCATCAGGTTACAGGTCCGATCTGTGGAGAGGTGACCCCAGTAACTCTACGAATGCATATTATTAAAGTATTTCAAGCAACCAAAAACACCTGTAGTGGAATAAATGCAAGATAGTTTAAAGGGATAGTTCTGAATTTTTGACATAGGACTTCATTTCCTAGTGAGCCAGAGTGTTGGAGACGTGTGGAGACACTTTTTAAAATATTCCATCCAGTCTTTGTATTTGCAGAGGTCGCTGGTGCTAGGCTAGTGCATGTCAATGGCCATAGTTATCCTGCCAACAAAAAACAGTCTTACTCACTCCACAAAGCACCCGAAGCAAATCTATTATTACGCCAGACTGTCGATGCGAATGTCTGTGTTGACAGAATAATGTTTGAAATAAAACTAACCTTACATCGCATGAATTGTTGCATGTTGAGGAACTATTTTCTCATATATCAGTCCGCCGCTGCCAAGCTTTCTCTCAGGAAGTACAACTCGCTGCTGCTCAGACATAAATCCTTCAAATGCAAGGTTGGCTTTACTTCTAAAATTATTCTATCAACACAGACATTCACATCGACAGTCTGGCGTAATAATAGATTTGCTTCGGGTGCTTTGTGGAGTGTTTAAGACACTGACATGTGCTAGCCTAGCACCAGTGACCTCTGCAAATACAAGGACTGGATGGAATATTTAAAAAAGTGTCTCCACACGTCTCCAACACTCTGGCTCACTAGGAAATGAGGCCCTATGTCCAAAATTACTGTACCTTTAAAGTTATACTGTGGAACATTAAGGACAAACATTTCATCACGACTCTGCCAGAAAAGTAATTTTTTTACAGTGCACTCTCTCCGTGTTGTCCAAATGTAAATTTGTCCAATTACTAACATGCACAAGCCACGTTGTATCTTCCTTGTGATGTGTCAACGTCAACTACTGCCTCTCCACTCATCCGTCTTCCTCGTGTCTCTTCCCTCTCTCTTTCTCTGTATCTCACTGGGTTGGAATCTGCGTTTTAGTCAGTGCAGGGAGGGGAAGTTTGGCACTGGGAATTATTGGACAATCCAGAGGAAAAATGGAGAGGAGGGCCAGCGTTTTGTGCGAGGACTAAAGCAAGATTGAGTTGCGGTTGCTCTTTCACTGGGTCCCATATGCCACCCTCATAGCTGCACACGGGCCGGTCTCAATCAGAGAAAGGGAGCGCTGCAGGGAGGTGGAGAGCTGCCAACAAGCTCCAATAAGAGTAACTTTAACTCACTTAAACCCATTGGATCGATGTCACCCCTCCACTCCTTCATTTAAAGCATGTTCGCCAAGTCTTTTACAGATACTTAAACTGCCAAGCCTGCGTTTGTTTTTACTAGACCAAATACAACGACTTAAGTTACATCATAAATTAACAAGCTTTGAACTTCATTGAAACGTGCTGCAGAGAAGCCCAGGCAATCACCAAGGCATTAGACACACATTGCAATCATTAGAATTTCAGGACAGTAGAAGTGAATACAGTTTACAGCAGAGGTGGGACCAAGTCGCTGTTTTACAAGTCTCAAGTAAGTCTCAAGTCTTTGACCTCAAGTCTGAGTTAAGTCCCAAGTCAAATACAGACAAGTCCAAGTCGAGTCTCGAGTCACTGGCCCATAAGTCCAAGTCAAGTCCTAGTTGTCTGCTTTGTGCTTCAAATAATTTAAAGTCTTTAAACCGAAGTAATACACATAGCTTAGATTTTTGCAATTTATATGATTTTTAAGATAAATTGTCCTTAAAAAAATCATTGTATATTTATATATGAGTATGTATAGAGTATATACAGTAAGAGATGCAGAACATTTTTAAATGTCTTGACAAGATCTTAGTGTGAACATTACAGTAAGAATAGAAATAATTCAGATTTAAAAGTGCTTCTGAAGTCACAGGCCTCAAGCCCGTGTCAAGTCCCAAGTCATTGACCTGCAAGTTCAAGTCGCGTCCCAAGTCATACACCACTTTATCAAGTCAAATCTCAAGTTCTAAAAATAGTGATTCAAGTCTCATAGAGTCCACATCAGGACTTGCAAGTCCCCTAGCCTGATTCATCAGCCAGTTTCACTTTGTAGAAACCGTCTGACCTCGCAGCGTTAGAATTCGTTCACTCGATGGCAGGCAGGTACTTTTTTATTTAACCAATCGCTGCTATTTGGTTGTGACGTATGTAATGCGCCTCTAATGGGCCAACTGGTATATTAAGCTTTTCCCAAATCCCATAGGAAGAAGGGCAATAACGTCTTTCCCCTTGATAAAATTCACCAAACATTCTCTTTGTTCCAGCTTTAAATCCTCAATCTCAGGAATCGCTTCCATTACAGAATCTATGGCTCTTTACTGAATGGCTAGTGCCCAAACTCGCACTTCTGGGGTTTTTGCAAACCTATTAGTATATTCCGATTCCTGACCTAGTCGCTGGAGAGAAATTAAATTGAGCGGAGGCACTAGGTAGCGCCAGCCTGGCTACAAGTCCCCACCTTTAATCAACAAAAATGTTAACTTACCCTTTATGGCAAGAGAGGATATCTTTGTTGGATACAGGATAAGAAGGTATAGATTAAAGTGGAACTAAATACTAAATTAACTCTGATTGGACAAACCCACCAGGCACTAACTCAAATGAAGAGTGAGTAGGAAAATGTAGACAATAAATGCTTTCAACATAAAATCCACAATATATTACTTTGTCCTGATTGGGGAAATGTATCCAGCCAGCGTCATATCACAATTTAATATAATTCTGAAATATTGCCAACTACCTGAATACAAGTTAAAGTCCAAATTATGGTCAGTCTTGTAACGGTCCAGCAAAATGCAATGTGCTTAAACTGCTTAAATGGTTACATAAAGTGGTGGGAAAGCTGCCAAGTTGTCGAATTAGAAATAACTTGAACTCACTTAGGCACACAAAACCCACTCCCCGCCCTTCTTTCTCTCCCTCCTCCTCTTCGTCCTCCTCCTCCTTTTCCTTGTGTTCATTCAAATCCTGCAATAAACCTAATCACACTCTGAAACCTTACACGCCTCTTACCCTCCGTGAAGGGCTCCCAGTTGTAGAGTCGACCCATGAATTCCTGATTATTGAAGGCCGCGCACTGCTCCGCTCTCGAGTCCAGCGCCCCTCCCCCTCCGGTCGCAGCACACACCTGGAAGGCAAGAAAACCCAGTGTTAAACCAATAGGACTCAATTAGCTACAGACTGAGTTTATAACATTAGAGAAATTGATGTCATACTTGCAGATGGAGGGAAGGAACCTGTTTAAGTTGCTGTTTTTGGAAGAAAACTCAAAACTGAAAGTTGGATTGTTATTTGTAAGGGATTGGAAACACAAATTTGCCTTATTAATCTTGTGGTGTATAGTCCAAATTCCACTGACATCAATAGTCTGTTTGTGGTAATAGAGAAGACACAGAGCTTTGTGCCAGTTTTTGTTTCATGTGGATAGGCACAGAAATTACAGAGAACCTTAAAACAGGTCCAAACATCTGCATTTTATGTAACTTTTCTGGTGGAAGGTCTTCACCCAGCTTGTCTACATAAAATGTTATTGCTTTGCCTGGAATTTTCCACAGTATCCTTTTTGCATTTGTTTAATTACACGTGTTTTCATTGTTCAAAAATATGCATTCTTACTGCGTGTGGGGTCAAGTCCCCGTTGATCTGATATAATAGCTTTGCCTAGTAAAGTCGTCTGCTTGTCTCCATGAGGATAAATAGGCTTCTTAATGTCACACTATGGAATATTCCAGGCAAAATTCCATGGAGACAAGGACCCACGTGTCCAGAAAAGTTACATCTTTATAAAGCAAATTCTACCACAGAATTCCAAATGTCCATCCAGCTCAGTTTTGCTCTCCCAGTCTCCAGGGAAGCCAGGGTGGAGTGAGGCAAATGAAAGCCAAGAAAAAGCAGCTAATAACAAAGGGGTCAATTAAGTTAGGTGCGCACATACTTAGGAAAACTATGCAAGGAATAAACGCATATGGGAATAATAAATTTTTGGAAGCAGAGGGACATATAAATCCCCCTGTGCATGACTGTATAAAGTTAGCGGCTGTGAGTGCGTGTTACAGTATGAGCGTGTATGTTTAAGCTCGCCAAGGCAGACACTTATGGAGTGTACAGTCCCAGGAGATTTAGCATACCTGAGCCAGAGAAGACAGCTGAACTGTCAGGGAGAAATGAGCAGAGGTGGACTCTCATGTTAGGATAATGTTACTTTGAAATCATATTTTAATGTACAAGGAAGCAGCCATCCAACTAGGTCATAATGTTAAAGCCACAGTGTGTAATGTTTGGCCAAAAAATAGACTAAAATACAAGTATGTTTTTAATTTTGGTTCTGTTTATTGCACTGAAAAATAAATGAAAGCATGTCTTCTTATTCTAAGCAGGCTTGCATCTCCATAAATCTGACTCTGATTTAGCCTGGAGGAGGACCCCGCCTTACTTGTTTCCATGGAAATGTTGTTTCTTTTGCTATAATATTTGGCAAAAAAAAAAACATATCTATCTCCATGAAGAATATTCCAATCCAAAATATGGTTTCAACTTTACATTTTCATGGAATCATGCAGGTGACATGCCACCTCTTGAAGAAAAAAACATTTATCCAAAGAATAAACCTGTATTCCAAAAACTCGCTGGGCTTCGCAAATTGATTATTCTTATGGATTAATTATCATCAAGAGATATACAATTTTTTCCACAACAATACTTACAGGGTGAGATATTTTATTTCAAAATTTATAAACATGGCCCACATGTGTCTCCAGATATGAAACAAAGAATAAGATGTTCAAATCAAATATTGGTTTTACTGGTAACAATTGTAATGTTGATGTATTTTTTTTGCATATCGGGACAAGTATTGTTACTATATCACATAAGTATATGAAAAAGTAGGGTGTGGTAAAACTGCAACATGGTATAAAAGTTATACAACTACAACATGTTAGAAAAATTGCTCCAGTTTAATTGAACAATGCGTAACTCTATCTCCTTGGATCTAACCTTGACTCTCACTGTTGGAGCTCTGGAGACACACGTTACATCAGGTAAAATATTCAGCAAAGCCGCAGCCACTGGACAAGAATGTTTGAGCTCTGAGCCAAAGTAATGAGAGACCACACAGGAGAAAGAGGAGAGAGAGATGACAAGAGAAGAGGAGAAGAGACGCCAAATCTCCAGCGCCAAAACTGAGATCTTCTAGTTAAGGGTAAACGCTCTGTTGATTAAACCACATATTTACATTTGGCACAGATAAAAGGGTTACGCGCTGAGTTACATCTCTGTAGTGCAAAACATCAGTGCTACAGAAATAAGAAAAAAATAGAATATAGGAAAATGTGACACCAGACTTGTAATTATAACCTTTTGGGAATAGTATCTCATTCTACCGCTCATGTAAAATGTAATAATAATGAAATCAAATTGAAAATATCTTCAGTTTAAGAGCATGGTTTGAGCCTATAATGCTGCCTGCGTCTGGACTTTACTGAATGTCTTTCCCAACTCTTTTTCTTCTCTTTTTCATTCATTTCAGAGTAATGAAAATGATGACAGTTGCTATAGTAATTCAAACATTTTCTATAAAAGTAAATCTCTTTTGAATAGTCGGACCAGAAGTCCTCGAAATGGTCACTATGAATCATTAACAGCTGAAATCTCCATTGGCTTAACATCAGACTATTTTGTAAATACACCGCCCTGATGTCACAACCGAAACACCCAAATACAAAAGCTCTCAAAACATCGTCTTTAAAAATAACACGCCTGGATACAGTTGTGATGCAGCGATACGATAGACAGCTGGTGTGTCACACTTCCCCAGAAGGATCTTATCTTTCAGTGCTCTCACTATCTTTCTTGCTCTCTCTTCGCGATTCGTTCCTGTCCTCTCTGACTGCACACAGCTGCCCTCACAGCAGCTGTAATATTCTCTGTCACTGTGGCGTTTGGGCGTTGAGAGCGCGAGGGAGTTGTCAAGTTTATACAATGAGCAGGAACGCGCCAGGCATGCACACACATAACGGTTCCCATGTGAAGAGGCAACTGAGACGCTGAGTAACTCAATGGATAAAGTGTCAAAAGCATTCCTGTGCGCGCTAACACCCTATGGCCCTGTGCCACTGTCACAAGGATCTCGGAAGGATTAGCCCCGTCTTCACAGAGAAAAGCGGTTCATGTGCTTTTATTACAGCGGGGGAGTCAAGAAGTCAAAACCCGAGGCAAAAAAAATGATGAAGTAAATGATTAACAGGACGCAGTGTTCTACTGATGTGCAACTGATTAACAACAACTTAATTGGAGACATCGTTAAACACTGCAAAAAAGTAATAACTTGTATTACTTAAAACCACTTCAAGACTCCCCCCATTTTTTTTTTTTTTTCTAAAGGGCATGATATATGTTTTTAGGTGGAGGGTCCAAAGCCTTCTTTACTCTATGGATATGTTGTTTCTTTGCCTTGAATGATCCCAAAAATGGCATAAAACTTGAAAATCTCCAGGTGACTCCAAACTAGAGATAGCCAATGCCAAAACCGATATAATTGTTTAGAATCCAGATCAGCCTATGACCAATAAACGATATTTTTGGACCGATATGTAGGGCAGATGTTTTCCCAATATGATTAAATTTACTAAGTCATAGACACCCACACATTTCAATACAAAGTGAATAGGAGAGCTGTGGAGTTACATTTGTGCTGTGTCCTCTTACCACACAAGTGTTGAAATAAAGTTTTATGATTATATTTTAAGCAGCTGGTCAGACCAAACAAAATATCAGCCTCTGCTTAATATTTACAGCAGATTATTCATATATTTAAAAGTGCACATATGTCTACTCCCAACCAAGTATTTTAGCAATAACAACACCTGTAACTGAATGAAAAGATGATATGTTTTACCAGACAGCAGAACATTTCAGGTAAAACAATATATTCTAATGAGACGACCAAGAGACGGACCCTCAACTAGAAACGTTACATTGTTATTTATTTTATTTAATGAAACAGGGACAGTGCACAATTCCCACATTAACCTTAATAGGAGATGCATTGTAGCAGGTTGTAGCACCAGTGCTAATTTCCATCTTTAGTCCCTGGGTAGACCTTCCTGGAGACTTATGTTGCATGTTTTGGGTTGATGGGGGAAACCGGAGCGCCCGGAGGAAACCCATCCAGACACGGGGAGAAACACGCAAACTCCACACAGAAAGGCCAAGGCGACCCAGGGCTCGAACCCAGAACCTTCTTACTGTGAGGCATGTACATAGAATACAAACATTAAACCTAATATTCTCAAGTCTTCAAGTCATTTTTTCCAATCTTGATATTGACATTTTGCAGTGTATGCTACTGTGAACTAGCCACCTAGTGCCTCCGCTCAATTTCGTTTCTCTCCAGCAACTAGGTCAGGAATCGGAATACACTAGACAGTTCATAAAAAACCCGGAAGTGCGAGTTCAGGCACCAGCCAATCAGCAAAGAGCCATATATTCTGTGTTGGCAACAATTCCTGAGATCGAGGATTTAAAGGTGGAACAAAGAGAATGTTTAGTGAATTTTATCAAGGGGAAAGACGTTATTGCTCTTCTTCCTATGGGATTTGGGAAAAGCTTAATATACCAGTTAGCCCCTTTAGCGGTGCATTATATACGTCATGAAGTGGTTAAATTAAAAAAAGTATCCACCTACCGTGGAGCGAATTAATTCTAACGCTGCGAGGTCAGACAGTTTCCACAAAGTGAAACTGGCTGATGAATCAGTCTAAAGAGACGGACCCTCCACCAGAAAAGTTACAGCTTTAAAGTATATAGAATACAAACATTAAGCCTAATATTCTCAAGTCTTCAAGTCACTTTTTTCCAATCTTGATATTGATATTTTACAGTGTATGCTACTGTGAACCGCATGTGAAAAAGGATATTCAAATGTGACATATTACTTTGTTGACAATTCCATTCCTTTGTTTACAGATGGGTGATATAGTCCAGATTTTTTGTTTTTTTAATTTCTGGACCCACAACAATAACTAATTTGTTCAAATTTTCGGCAACTAACCCTGTCCATGTGTACAAACACTTCTCCAGATTGAAAGTTAATGTATGTTTATGGACTAAATGTTAACACAAAATGAT